ACACACACACACACACACACACACACACACACACACACACACACACACACACACACAAACCAGCTTGGCAACAATTAAAACAATTGCAAGTCTCTGATAGGCTTAATGCTAACCAGACCCTCAAAACAAGGAGGTTTAAAAATACCCCTAAACTCTCAGCATGGTATCATCATGCTACAGAAAATCCTTTAGTCTTAACAGTATTAAAGAGTAAAGAGTAAAATCAGAGCGTGAAGACAAACCATGACTTGCAACAAAGGATATTGGTGAAGTAAAATGATTGTTACATTACTTTTTTTAACCGGTACAGTAATTTGTTTTATAAGGAAGCATCTATGAAACCTTCCTCTAATTTTTTTTTATTGATTGAATATTTTTGTAGACTGGAAACAGAATTAGAGCTTTTACACCAAAAGCCCATTGTTCTGAAACTCCTTTCCAGAAAATTATATTGTTAAGTCACTGGTAACTTTGTAGATTCTAATTAATGTGGTTTGATTTCTCTTAGCTTTTTACTTATGATTTTATGACAGATTCATGTTTTAGCTGCTGCTGTTTAAGTTCATTAATTTATTGACTTTTTAGTGTAAAAAGTACCTTATAACCAGTCCGCACATTTACAGTCGTCGTGGCATCCCCACAACCATGTAATAAAAAATTCAGCCATTTGGCAACTGGTATATATTTACCATGGTTGCAGGTCATACAATTAGTATATGTCCATGATGACGAACCTATGGCACATGTGCCACAGGTGGCACACAGAGTCATATTTGCTGGCACACCAGCCATCAGCTCCGGCGTGCACAGATGATTGTTCGCCCTTCCGGAGGTCCAGGGGGAGGCAATTTTTGTCCTCCCAGGCTTCAGGGAAGCCTCCGCAGCCCGGGGTCATGTGTGCATGCACAGGTGGTTGGGGAGGATTGAGAGAGTACAGGTGCTTGTGCAATAGCACACATGCATTCAGTTTTGGCATGCTATAAGAAAAAGGTTCGCCATCACTTGCATATATGATTTTCGAAGTCGGCTTCCAAGAAGCAAAGCCAACGATGGGAACTGAATTTGCTTAATGACCATACAATTCATTCAACTGGTGAGATTCACAACCGTGGCCAAACAAAAAAAGGTTGTAAAACAGTTCATTTAAGAACAGCCTTAAAAATGTTGATTCCAATTGTACAGGTAGTCCTCGACTTTCAACAGCTCATTCAGTGACCCTCCAAAGTTAAAAAGGCACCAAAAAGTTATTTATGACTGTTTTTCACATTCAGGACCATTGTGGCATCCCCATGGTCACATGATTTACATTTGGATACTTGTCAATTGACTCACATTTATGACGGTCACAGTCCCCAGGGTCATGTGACCCCCTTTTGCAACCTTCTGACAAGCAAATGGGGGAACTTAACAAATCTGGAGGGAAAAATCGTAAAATGGGCAAAACTCACTCAACAAACAAGTGTGTAACCCCCAATGAAAGAAGACTCCAAGGCTTGAGTTTCCTCAAAGTCCCATTTTATTAGAGATCTCGCAATTGGGATTCACATGACCCCAGGAAACTGCAACCGTCATAAATATGAACCAGTTGCCCAGCACC